GGGATAAAGGATCAGGGAGAGTTGGGCTGGTCGGCTGGGCTTGGGCCTGCCCAACCAGCACCCCCTCTACATATTTATTCTTTAAGTGTTACATTTCTTTTCTATGTGAGCATCTACATTTGGTAAAACTAAGCAATGCTCATTCCTAAAATCCACCGATTTCCCTATGGTTGAAACCCTAGGGGAAAGGCTTGGTAGGGAAACTCAATTTTCGTAAGGAAAGTCTCCTAGCGACAACTTCAACGGTAAAGCAGATAACGTGTCCTATGGTTTTTTTATCGAAACCCTTTCCCTAGAGATTTTGATACGCATGGAACCATGGCGTGGTACCTAGCATGGAAAGCTGCTTACCCTAGGGGTCAATTTTTCTTAGAAAACATTGATGTAGTCTTCTTATTAATATATTTTTGTAGAGCTAATCATAATCTTGCTTGTATCGGTTATGATTCTGTTACCTCAATGTAGAACAATTCACAACGCAAACAAATCACAAACAAAAGTAATCTTTTATATATTGAATTTTACATTGAGATCCATATGTTACATATGCATTTTTCAAAATTTATTTTATTTATATAGTATTGAGATGCTCTATGTGAATCCAAGCATGCAACAAGCCACCAACTTTTACATCTTTCAAGCTTCCAAATCAATGTCACTGCTGTAACTGCACCGAAAACAACAATTAGATTATCCTGATGAAAAACAAAGTTATATTATATTAATGTAGTGCTAGTTTCATCAGCAGTAAAATGCATTATAAATCATGAAGCAAGGATTTAGAGGATTAAAAACAGACTATGAGAGGAAAATGCTAATCCACGAGTTGTGTTCCCACTAGCTCTTTCCTCCATCTGACTTGCCTCCTTCATGTCTGGCCCATGCAGGCCTGTTCACCGCAAGATGATGACAACGGCTAGTGGAAACATGTTGTGGAAGTGCAGGTCTGGCCCCTACGCATTGGCTTTGACATGCTCCTTCTCATCATAGGCTAGTGATAGCGGTGGTGGGACTAGCTGCGGTAGCGGCAAGGCCGACCCTCATGCGTTGGCTCTGGCCTGCTCCTCATCTTATGCAACTAACCTAGCATCATCACAGATCTTCTGTGACCACGCTCCTCTATAGCAAGAAGAAAGATGATTATGTTGTGGATAGATTATTGAACTAGAGGAAGGTGAGGCTTACCTTGTGGGTACTGATAGAGATAGATACTTTGGGAGGTTGATGGGCCAAAGAGTTTCGACATCCATGAGGGTAGCACACCACTGCAAAAGTTGTCCATGGACCCTCTCATCCACTACAACACCACCTTTCTAGGTCACCAACATTAGTGTCGTGCCACCGCTTCAACCCTCCCATGGTTGCTCTAGATCTAAGAGAGTCGAGGGATGTGATACAGGATAGAAGAGAGAGTGAGAGGCGTGTAGTGGAGAAAATGGATGGGAGTTGAGGTGAAGGTTCTATTGGGCCTGACCATTCACAGGGAGAGAGTGAGTGTGTGTGTGTGCTTAGGGTTTTTAGCCTCGCGCACCACATACATAGTATGTCCCTACAGTTTCCAATTTTTCCTAGGGAAATCAACCATTTTGATGTCGACATGGCATTTTTGTCCCAAGAAAATAGCCAAGTCCTAGATAAAGATAAGGCATCTCTACAGTTTTCAAATACTGTCCTAGGGAAAGATACTTCCCTTGAGTTTCTTTAACTTTCCTATAAGAAAAACAAAAAACTCTATTGAAACCAATAGATTCTATTAGTGATTTGAATTAGGACAAAACTTGATCCTTGTATTTCAGGCTAGAGGAGTATTATGTAGTCATAAACTCTCTTCTTATTTACCATATGAAGAAAATGTTCAAGAAAATCCAGCTAACACATTAGTAAGATCAGCTTGCCTATGTGCATGAATGAAGATTAACCAAGCAAAATAAAAACACCCATATCGGCTTAGTTCCTAGACTAAAATAAGTGACAAATAAATTATACTCTACCTGAACTCAGAATATGTGGACCTTAGTATTGAATGCATCAATGAGTGTAAATCACGTATAAGAACTCAAGTCATGGTCGGTATCCCTACACTTTGAAAGTACCTAGTTTGCTTTGGTAATTGAGTGACAACAAGTGGACTAAAGTACCTAATTTGGTTTTGATATTTGAGTGACAACTAGTGGACTAATGCTTTACTTGAGTGATAAGCTAGGTTAGTCCACACAAAGGTATTGAGCAAGGTGGCAACCGTGGTGGAGATGATGATGGCCAAGTAATCAAGTGCTCAACATAGATGAAGCAGATGATGGAGGTGGATGGATTGGAGAGCAAAAGCTCAAAGACAAAGGTATAGCATATAGAGTTTAGTTGTCACCAGCAAAGGTGCAATAGAGTACATGGCTTGATTTAGGATAGTTAGATGTACTATTAAGAGGGGAGCTCTAAAGCTAATATAGTTATCTAGTTCCACAAGGTGAGGACTCACCTTGCAAATGCGTTAGACCTACTGACATGGTGAAGAAGCAAGAGAAATGCTTTGGAAAATGTTTTAAAAATACTAACTCAATGCTTAAGTTGTTGTTACCTCGTGGGACACAGCTGGGAGTTAGCACAATTGACAAATGGTTTGAGGGTTGCACTTGGTGAGGCATTTCTGCACTCACTGAAAACCTCTAGTGGCTACCGGAGTTGGTGTACTGGAGTGTTTCTTATTGCCTGTTTGTTGGCTCAAGCATCTAGGCGATCACGTTAACTTCTGGTCCTCACTGGAAAGGTAGCGCTGAAGTTTTGGAGCAGTGCCGATTGACACATGCGGGCTTTTCAAATGGGGGCACTGGAAATGTCTAGTGAGCACCGAAGCAGCTAACCAGAGAGACCTAGGAGCTCCAAAAACCTTATGTGTAGTCTCTTATTGTGGTCAAAGGAATGGCTGTTGCACGGGAATGTGCATGGACTGTCACTCCGCAATTCTCACCGAAGTGATCAGTAATGTAACGGCTAGTTTTTGAGCTTTTGGAATTCGACCATTGAGATCCTCTAGTGTGGAACTCTGGTGATCACTTAATTTATATATTTGGAACCCTAAATGATCTCAAACAAAAATTTTATCAACTAGAAAGTTTTAGATCTCGTCAAGCTCTACAATTTTGATATAAATTTTATCTTCATCCGACTTCATTTAAAAAAGATATGAATTTATTTATGCTACAGCTATTTTTAAGGACAGTTGACTTAGTCAACCGTCTCTGAAAATCGATTTTTAGAGGCGGTTGACTTAATAAAACCGTCCCTGAAAATCACTCATTTTCAGAGACGGTTGACATAAGCAACCGTTCTTGAAAATAGCATTTTCAGAGACGGTTCTCTTAACGGAACAGCCCCTAAAAATGAATACAACATGCTTCCTATATGCATGTATACTTGACCTGCATAATGCCATATGCATGTTTACTTTAACCAAATATTAATATGTTAATATCAAATAAATGGATAATGTTGTAATATATGTGCTTATGATTATTAATTTTTAAAAATAAAAAAGATTGATAATTTAGATGTAGATTTGATAGAAATCGTAATTTAGATGCAAATTCAAGGTTTACGTAGATTATCTATAATAATGGATAAGTAGATGCGATTTTATCTTTTAAAAAATTGATAAGAGGGTGGAAAATATTGGATATGGTAGGAAACCCTATTGATATGTTGTTTATCTGATGTTAATTACATTTACTTGGGAGGGGGGCATTTATAGGTACATACGGGGGAGACACTTGCAAGCCAAGTTGTACTAAGCCTAATCCTATTCTATCTCTAGATTCTATCTTTCTCTCTAAAGTTTGTTTCCATCATCTCCAACTATCTCTAACCATACAAATCTTTATTTCCAACAAAGAGAGCTGAGGGACGGAAGACAATATAGAGTCAGGCTGGGATATAGAGATGGAGAATCTCGGGAGGTGAGAGATTAAGGACCGAGACCGACACGAAGTTATTGAACTCGTTTCTGGATTTGGGTATATATGTCTACCGCTCTCGAGTTTTGTTAACACCTGTTGGCAGCATCTTCGGTGTCAGTTCATGGTTTTTGCGTAATCGTGCTGTTATATGTACTCCTTCTGTCCTACTCAAATGACGCATGTACATATAGGTTGAAGCCAAATGAGGTGTTTCTCCTTAAATTATGGTTTTCTTTTTAACAAACTTTATCTGTCTAAGCATGAATAATATATAGAATGCATTGTATTTTAGTACAGATTTTAGAAATCATATTGCTCTATATTTCAAGATGGAGGGAGTATTTCATTAAAAAGAAAGCAATCACAGTACACACATCGGTAAGCCTGAGCTTACAAAAAGGACGAAATATAGGCGCACAGTAAGAACTAAGAGGGCTTGCGACCATGACTAGGAGCCCGGATGGGAGGGCCTAACAATCATGGGTGCCAACGAAAACAGCCGCGCGTGGCCGGACATATCACCCACTGCATGCGTCTTCCATGGTACAAAAATAGGTTGCGATCAAACGAAGCAGAGCACTCTTGGGAAACAACCACTCTGAGATATAGCCTTGCATATCTATTATTATTACTGTCAGTTTGTGGTCATATTTACTAACTAGTAGTAGTCATGTTAGGTACGGTATTGCAGCGTTTTTGTTTTATTTGCTAGTTTCATTTGGACCCGCAATGCTCGGCTGTAAGATCTATCAGTTTCTATAGTAGTATATAGTATTTGTTTAACTTAATGAATCTTTTAAACCATCTCCCTAATTTGTTTTTTTTAATCTCTAGAACAGTTTCTCGAAAACGAACGGTTGTAATCAGCTCAATCATTCATGCTGCCCTGTTCAAGGAAAATGATGGGCAGCCAAAGAGAGCATGGCATGCAAATGTAAAAGCACCACACGCAGTTCTATATATAGCAGCCCAAGGCTATCCTTTTTTAGCCAGAAACATCAGATCGAATCTAGTACTAAACCAGAACAATTTGGTGCTAGGAACGTAACCATGGGTCATGTGAATGTAGTATACCAGCTCCTGCAAGCATCTCTAGCGCAACGGCTACTACTGCTCGTCCCTCTCGTCCTCGTCCTAATGCTACTGCTGCACCTCGCCTCCCGAAGCCGTCGTGGCAGCAACGAAAAACAGCAGCGACGACCGAAGCATATCCTGCCTCCTTCGCCTCCTGGCCTGCCCATCATAGGCCACCTGCACCTCGTCGGTGACCTCCCGCACGTCTCGCTCCGCAGCCTGGCCGCAAAGCACGGCGGCCTCATGCTCCTCCGATTCGGCACCGTCCCAAACCTCGTCGTGTCGTCGTCGCGCAAGGCTCGGCTGATCATGCAAACACATGACCACGCCTTCGCCTCGCGGCCGGCTTCCAAGATCTCCAATACCCTCGTGTATGGGTCATCTGATATTGCCTTCTCCCCCTACGGCGATCATTGGCGTCAGCTTAGGAGGCTCGTTACCACGCACCTCTTCACTGTCAAGAAGGTGAACTCCTACCGGCTCTCCCGCCAAGAGGAGGTAATATTCAACACGAGTTTTTTTTAGATGAAGGAAGCTTTATTAAAAATAGAGATCAGACCTTTATAACAAAGACCGGGTTATTATTATTTATATATGTGTGTCCATAGGTACGGTGGATAGCTCAGACCTTACGTCTAACATGAATATCCTCATCCGTGCATAGGTGCGCCTAGTGATCAAGAAGATCCAGGAGGCGGCAGCTGCGAGCAAGGAGGTGGACATCTGCGAAATGATGAACACGTTCGCCAACGATATCGTGTGTCGTGCCGTGTCAGGAAAGTTCTTCAGGGCGGAAGGGCGGAACAAGGTCTTCCGAGAGCTGATCCAGCTGAATATTATTCTGTTTGGAGGGTTCAGCCTCGAAGACAACTTCCCAGGGCTAGCGAACGTGTTAGGTTTGCTCACCAGGTGGTTTGTAAGCAACAAGGCCGACGAGGCACACAAAAGATGGGACGATTTACTTGAAACGATAGTAAGCGACCACGAGAGACGAAGAAGATCTGAGCATGGGCATGGTGGTGGTGGTGGTGTTGATCAAGAAGAGAGTGACTTCATCGATGTGTTGCTCTCAGTTCAGCAAGAGTATGGTATCACTAGAGATCATCTCAAGGCCATCTTGATGGTTAGGAAATTATATATATATATATATTTCCCAATAATTTCCATTTGTTTAATTTATATAAAAAGAGAATATATAATAACGTTTTGGAAATTCAGGACATGTTTTCTGCGGGCACAGAGACTTCATCACTAGTTCTAGAACTCGCCATGGCGGAGCTTATGCGCCACCCTCAGCTCATGAGCAAGCTACAAGCCGAGGTGCGGAAGAACACACCCAAAGGACAAGAGATGGTTGAGCAAGATAACCTAGCTAGCATGCCATATCTAAGAGCCGTGGTGAAAGAGACGCTGAGGTTGCACCCACCGGTACCACTCCTGCTTCCTCACCTCTCAATGGTGGACTGTGACGTGGATGGCTACAGAATCCCCTCGGGAACACGAGTCATCATCAACGCATGGGCCATCAGTAGGGATCCGGAGTCCTGGGAGAGCGCGGAGGAGTTCGTGCCGGAGAGGTTCATGGACGCTGCCAGCGCCGCGGCCATTGACCTGAGGGGGAACGACTTCCAGTTCGTGCCGTTCGGGGCTGGCCGGAGGATCTGCCCGGGCCTCAACTTTGGCCTGGCTACTGTTGACATTATGTTGGCAAACCTCGTCTACTGTTTTGACTGGGGTCTGCCCATTGGCATGAAGGAAGAGGATATTGATATGACAGAGGTGTTTGGATTGACAGTCCGTCGAAAGGAGGAGAAGCTCATCCTGCTACCGGAACCACATGCGTGCGCATGTTAGAGTTGTTCCTGCCCACTGGTCTCTGATGAGTGTGAGTGATCCATTATATGTGCTGTGGACGATGTGGTTCCTGCCCACTGGTCTCTGACGAACACGTCCATATATTTTATGTATGTATATATGTATTTTGTAACAGCAGCTGTGCCTAGGATGGGTGCTTTATTACTTACTAAGTGTGAGTACTAGTACATTGCATGAATTGTGTGGTATATAGGTTATTGGACATTGAAGTTTGCGAACAACATGTGTATTACACTAATAAAAAACAGAACCGCCGGTGTAAAAGGCCAGTGAAAATAGTGCATTTCTACCCCGGCGTAAAAAATTATCTGCCCATACAAATCTATTTACACTAGCAGCAACCTTGCATGACCTGACCTTATAAATCATTTTTCACTTGCAAATTTAGAGTGCAGGATTTTACTTTGAACTGAGGTATTACCCTCTACCTAGATTCTTCTTTCATATTTGAATTTGATGACACCATTATGTAGACTAAACTTCTCCACTACTTACACTGCCAATGTAGCTAAGAGCTTAACAGTAGAAGGATGCCGAGAGTAACCATCCACTAATTCTTGTAACCGAGACTTTGGATCGTTAAACTTTTGTAATTTCTTTGCTTTTCGGTAATGAAATTTGATTCGTCTATGGTGGGAAAAAATTGTGTAATTAGGTAGGTTGTATTTGTAGAGTAGAAACAACAAACACCTCTTGCATCTGAAGAGGAGTAGTTGTTAGTTGATCTCCACCAGGCCCTTGTCTCTGCGCTCTGATCAGGGGCGCCCAACCCTAATACGGTTGATGGGCCCCTGTCGCACAGCACATATAAAAGAGAGGTGGGGATCACGGCTCTAACTAAGAGGTTGGTCTGAGCCGCCGTGATCCACCACAGTAAACCTAATCCGATCAAAGGAGTGCTGCCAGCGACGGGAAGCCCACCGACTTCCCCGTCGCCCCTGCAAGGTCACCACCGTCGCCCCTGCAGGGTCACCACCGTCGCCACTGGACCTCGCCTGCATCGCCACCACGACGCCTACAACGCCATGGTACCGGCGTCTACACTGCTGCGGCGAAACTACGCAAGGGCGAGGAGGCTTACCCCGGATCTACGGTTACAGAAAGGTACACTATGATACTAACAATGGTATCAGAGATAGGTTGCCAGTGTGTAACCCTAACCCTAACTAGGTAAAAGCAAATTGAAAAGAGACTGGGGGTGGCGGACGTCACTGGAACCCCGGTCACCACCGCCACCGCGCGGGGAAAAGTGCCGCACCGCCGTCCTCGCAGGCGCACGGCAAGAAAAGAACAGACCCAGTTCGGATCTGAGAAAAGGAGTAAAAAGAAAGAAGAACAGTGGTTCCCCAACCTTAACCCTAACTGGGTGAAGAGGAAGGGCCCTCGGCTCACGAAGCCGAACCCTAACCCATGAAGCGACCGTGGGGAAGAACAACAGTGAACCCGAACCCTAGATCCCGATTCGGATGAACTCCGAAAAGAAAGAAATCAAAAGAAAAGCGAAACCCTAACCCTAGAACGAATCCCCATCCCAATCGGACTCAACCGAAAAGAGAAACAAGATCCAAAAGAAAAGAAGAGGGATTCCGCCTAGAAAAGAGTCAAAGCCAAACCCTAAACCCGCGCAGATCCTCTGGGGAAGAAGAACAGTGCAAATGCTGAAACCCTAACCCTAATTTTTAACCCCATCTCCAAATCGGGTTAATCCCAAAAGAAGATGGGGAAGGGGGAAGAAGGGGAAGAGGTGGCCTACCTCGCTGCCATAGCAAGAAGCTTATCGGCCTCACCGGTAGCGTGGGGAGAAGAAGGGCGAGCCGGCGGCTTGCTCGCCGGGCTCGGCCAAAGGGCGCCATGGCCAAAGCCGCTGACGGCGACGACGCCACCTGGGGGAGCGCCGACGCCCGGGCGAGGGGGCAACGGCGACGCCATGGCTGCCTGCCCGCCACAAGGCTCTCGCTCTGCTCGGTCGCCGCTCGCCTCGCTGCTGTGTGAGGAGAGAAGAGAGAGAGTGAAGAGAGAGAAAGGACGGGAAGCGAATGAGGCTAGGGTTTCCAGCCGTCGCGGCCGAGGGGGTTTTTGACCCCGCGAAGCCTACGCTCGACCGTCGAATGAGATCTGACGGCGAGATTTCACCAGGCCGGTTTTTAGCCCAGGCGGGCGCGAGCACCAGGCCAGTTTCCCGGCCCAGGCCCAGGTTGCGGCCTGGGCGTGGGGGAGAGCGCGGAATAGTGCGCGTCAAGGGAGATGGGCCAGGCCGTTTTGTCGGCTGGGCTGAATGCACAGTGATGAAATGAATCAATTTTTCGTTTTTCTTTTTACAGTAAATGTTTATTTCCTGGAAATTGATTAATGGCTTAAAGAAAATAGAAAAAGTAAATTTTCCCTACGGGTAAAATTCAAGAAATGAGTATACGTTTTCCGCTGCTAAAGAAATTGTTTATTCTCCAGTTATTTTGAACCAATGTGACATTTAATTGGAGAAAAGAGAGTTTTTCCGCTGCTAAAGAAATTGTTTATTCTCCAGTTATTTTGAACCAATGTGATATTTAATTGGAGAAAAAGAGATTTTGACATGATTATGATGTTGTTATTTTCTGACCAACGTTGTTAATAATAATATCGTAATTTTAATGATTTATGCATTAATTCTATTTCTGCCCAACGGTGATATAGAATTAGTGTATAAGAACAGTTGTAAATTTTAATGATTTATGCATTAATTCTATTTCTGCCCAACGGTGATGTAGAATTAGTGTGTAAGAATAGTTGTGAATTTTAATGATTTTATACATTAATTCTATTTCTGCCCAACGATGATGTAGAATTAGTGTATACAAACAGTTGTATGTTTTGATTTTAACCAACGTTGGAATCAAGGTCTGCAAATGGTGTTATTTTTATGTTAAGAAAAGGTTTGACCTGGTTTTCATCTTGTCTAAGGTGGACTGGGTAGTCACCTCGCCGTGTTCCACAGAGTCTGTGGCACTGGTGAGGGAGACAAACGAGGATGATGCCGTTTGGACAACTAAAAAGAGAGATTTTGAAATCCTGAAAGATGTCCTATGCCCTTGTACATAGGAAGTGAGTCACTGTCAACAAGAAATGTTTGGCTGTGATAAAGAACACGGTTGAGTCTGCAATTGTGGGCTCAATTCTAGAGTGTGACATGGTCACCGAATACCATGATAGAATAAAGAGTTAGTTCACTGGCTCTTCAAAGACATATGCTACCCAGCTGATAAAGCAGTTGGTGACAGAAAGTTAATCTGGAAATTGTGGTATAAGAGAGCTCACGATGCGTCATCGAAATTATGGCACTATCGTTTAGGCCATATTTCGAGGGGGAGAATAAAAGACTAGTTAAGAATAATATTCTTCCTCCATTAGAGCTCTCATATTTAGAACAATACAGAGAATGCATAAAAGAAAAGTATGTAAAAAATTAAGAAAGATGCCAAACGAAGCGCAGGAATTTTACAGATTATTCACATAGATATCTATGGTTAGTTTCCTGTAAAGAGTGTGGATGGTAATGATTCATTCATAACATTCACAGATGATTACTTCCGTTATGGCTAAATTTATCCAATCAAAGAAAGAAAAGAATCATTGGATAAATTTAC